AACACACACAGAAACATCACGAAATCATTCTGCATACATACTCTTCTTCTCTGCAATAGTCTACCGAGAATACTTCTGTTCTGGTTCGTTGTCTTGCAGTCGAAGTGCTGCTTCTGCAAGTATCTGATCATTGTATCTTGGGAGACGCTTTACCACATACCGTAAGCACCTTGTGACGGGGTAAAAATGTCTTAAGGACAGAGAACCTAGTTCTCGCCTCGATCATTCCGAATTCTGGACTTCTTTATGTTTTGTTTTATTCTGTTCTGTTTTTACTATTTTGCAATTGTTCATCTAGTTTAGCAAGTCATTTATGAAAAATCTGTTCTGTATAACAAATTCGAAAAGATCAATCAACAAATACTGGTGCTACACACCCTGGAGTGCCCTTGAATCCCGTGACAGTTATGTGTGTAGCGTCTCTGTTACAAAGCTTCGCTATCCCAAAATCAGCAAATTTAGGAGAAAAGTCTGAGTCGAGAAGCATAGATATCACAATGAATTATCATGTGCTGACAGTCCTCGTGCAAGTATGCAAGACCCTTAGTTGTTCCAACTGCAATTTCTTTCAGCCTTTCCCATTCAATGTCTTAGTTTTCATCACTAAACAAGTACTTATCTAGTGACCCGTTCTCCATGTATTCGTACACGAGCACTCATCGTTGGATCATAACAAAAACCGTAAAAGCTCACTAGATTTATGTGATGAGTCTTTCCTATCGTGCCAACCTCGACCATAAACTATCCCTCAGCTTTCCTATCTGAATCCCGATTGAGGACTTTTACGGCAATATTTTCTCCATTAGGGAACTGTCCCTTGTAGACTTTCCCGAACCCTCCACAACCCAATATCGTAGTATAATTACTCATAAAAGAACAAAGTTGTTGAGCAATGAACCGTACTAGTTTCTCTTGTGCTAGGTCATGGAGAAATCTCTCCATAGTTGGGGCATCAACCTCCCAAGCTTGGATTACATTTAATGGTTGTGTTGAGGGGGCAACTTCAGCTCTTATTTCTGATACTATTGCATCATTTGTTGTTGGAAATAATCGAGTGATGGAGTAGAGACAAAAGAACAATACAAAGTAACCAGCAACAAGATAAAGAAACCAGAAAGTTGTTTAGAACAAATTCTAAGGCTAGAACGCAGGATCGCTGTCCTCAAGCGATATTTGTCCCTTCTCGGGATTGAATGAGATGCTTAAAGGTTTTGGCAAACGCTTAAAGGTTTTGGCAAACAGTTTATAGGATTATATCAAGCTTTCTAAAGGATTTAACACTAAAGTACAAGTGCAATCCTTCAAAACCTTACGAACACGATTGAAAAGATGAATATGAGAGAAGATAATGTTTGATCTTAATTTAATTGTTGGTTAGAAATGAATTTCAAGTAATTTTTCAATGTGTTTTCTTGGTTAACAACCACATATATATAGCTTTCAAACAAGCTGTATGAAGTGGTGCCAAAAAACTCTCAAAAAGTCACCAGAATTTTGAACAAAACGGCCCTCTAACGACTATAAAATTATCCTATGCGGGTTGCATAGTTCTTGGACAAGTAATCTGAAAGCAGGCCTAAAGGCCATGCAGACCACTATGTTGGAATTAATTGAATTTGATTTGAGTTTGATTTGGGTTTAAAATATTAAATGTAATATTTAATGATATGGGTCATTGCAATTAATTTAAGTGAATTGGAAAAGTCTCCAATATAGGCCCATATGTTGATAAGCCCATTTCAAGTGGTTTTTATATGGAAAGGAGTCCCACATCGAAAGTTTACAAGAAAATAGTCTTGTTTATATAGTGGGTTGTGTAAATAATATATAATTTAATATGTTACCTACCACTTGGCTAACTTTAGCTAGCCAAAGGCTAGCAAACTAGCCAAAGGCTAGTCACCACTAGAGTGATGCTTCGCACCACTAGCACCATTCCCCGGACCCGGACCCGGCACGCGCACGTCGCAAAGTACGCATTGGGCACTTTAGAGGCGCACTTGGCACTTCGCACGTACGCATCGTCGCGAGGAGCTGGGGAGCCTTATAGTTTTCGAAAATGGACTCGTGGTTCGATGACGTGGCAGCACAAGGCTCGATGAGTTGGCATTCTAGGTGGCGCACGAGTGGTAGGTCGCGTCCCTTCGTCCTGCATGGCGGTTAGGTGTACGCGTGGCATCCGTATGGCTGTGACTGTTCAGAAATTGGTGAATAGGCATGATGAATGGACACTTCACTTCATGGTTCAATCTGGGCCGTCAGATCATAAAAATAGTGCGATCCAATGGCTAAGACGAATCAGACCAAGTGGTGCACCAGTTCCTGAAATGTCACACACCTGTTCCATGAGACACTTCAATCTCTATAAATAGGGACCCCCAGATTCGTTTTTTGACACACCAAATCAATTACGAATTCAATTGATTTCTAAATTCTTCTATCTCCATATTCTGCTCGTAAAAAATCTCTTATACTTCCGTCGTTATTCCGTTCAAGTACGATCATTCATTGGTTCGACCGACAAGGTTGGTATTGTGCAGTATCGACTTTGGAAGGAGCGTTGTATCTTGGGAGACAGACGTCCATAATCTCGTTTGCACTTCATTGGGGGGCGAAATCTGTCTTAAGGAGATTTGCTTACTTTATTGGCATACCTCGCTTCATTTACTGTCTATTTTTCTGCTTATTTTATTTCTTCTTTTGATTGCGTTAGTCGAATTTCCGACAACACACTATGCGGCGGCAGCTCGCGGTTGCATAGATAAATAAATCTTTTTTCCTCGTTTTTGGCCGTTGTTTTCCACGTCATTCCACCATTGATTTTAAACAATCATATAACATTTGTTCTCTTTGCACAGTAGATTGATACAACCACAATTACTAAGCCCAAAAGAAAAGCTGCAAAATGAAAAGTTCTAGTGGTGAGACTTTGATATGCTATACTCGACTAGACGGATATGACAGTACAATAGGCAAATCACAAGATATTATTGACTACCATCTAATCTATCTTATCAAATATGTCAGTGCCGAATTATTTGATACTCTTTGAAACTCACCTACACCTTTTCCTCCTCCATTTTCTGATGATGGCGATTAGGCCTAGGCACGGTTTGATTTGGGTTGGTTTCGACTCCAACCTGAAACCAAAACCAAATTAGTCGATTTGGGTGAATTCAACCCAAACCAACCTACTCCCACTCTTAAACCGAACTGAACCAAATCGGTTTGTTTTGGTTCGGTTCGGTTAGTCGGTTTGAACTTTTAATTCAAATTGACTTTAAAAAAAAAAAAGTCCAAGTTTTGGCCCAATTGGATTACAAGATTTAAAATAACTAAATAACTTTATATTACAAGAATTATTAACTACACAAATAAAATTAGGTTGCTAGAGACAAATCAACAAAAAAATGAAAATTTTGTTGCATTTTTATACATTATGTATCATAATTGTCTGAGTAGAAAAAAATACTAAGCATAATATAATGAACTTATGAAAGAAAATTTGCAGTACTATTATTTACCGACAATATCATAGGTTAAAAGGAATCGTGATATAGTTATGAGATTAGAGCTTATCTTTTGATTTTTTATTTTTCTTAAAAAAAAGGTAAATATGTAAATGGGTTGGGTTGATTCAGTTAATCAGCGGTTTAAGATTTCAAATCATGATCGAACCAAACAAAACCAATTACCTGTATAAAACCAACCCAAATGATTTGATTGATTTGATCGGTTTTTCGATTTTTTTGCCTAGGTCTAGTGGCGATGTACCATATCAGAAGATGTAGCTGCGATATATTTGCCTTAGAAGGATGTCATAGCTATACTTACAAAGGTGGGTTACAAAGTTGGTTAACAAAATAACATCTACACCAATCATTTCAAAAATAGATTTTTAAATCATTTCAAATCAATGACCTTAATTTTGCCAACACACTTCGTAATCCAACTTTGTAACCCAACTTTGTACAAGCAACTTTATTGGAAAGGATAATGCTCTTTGTGCATAAGTGTGAGTGTGTGTGTGAGAGAGAGAGAGAGAGAGGCAAGGCAATTTATATGGCTCTTACAACATTAGAAGGTGTGACTGGGAAGAGAATTGATGTGGTTGGCCTTAATTATTCAACCGACCATACTAGGAATTTGGGTGGACCATTAAATTGATAGTCAATCTTTGTTTTTCCCACATTACAGTAAATCTCTATATGAAATTAATGATCTATTTAAGAAATAATTTTCAAAGTCGGGTCTTTAGAAAATCAACTAGTTCTGTTGAAAGTGCACGACACGTTATTCTATATTCTTTAAGGATTAAAAATTTCATGTTTAAATATTTGGTTATTACTAATTTATGTTGAGATTGCTTATTTTAGTTATCATTAAAACTTGAGGTTTGGATTCCTTATATACAATTTGATCATTTTTTTTTTTAATCAAAGATTTGACGTATGGATAATTTTTATAGATGGATGTTGATGAAACTTGATTTTCCTGTGATATAATGTTAAATTACCTCATTCTAAAGTTTAAACGATTAGAAAAGAGACGCATTTATTTAGTCCATATTTCGTCCCATTTATATTTTTTTAAATTCATTTTCAATCACAAATTTTAGACAATTTACAACTTTCAACCCCACATTCAAACAATTTATATCAAAATTTACTAAAATCTGATTTTTATCAAAATTAAACAAGGACTTACTCATATAAAATCCATCCCATCCCTCAAGGACTCGGGAACTTTCAATCGAAAATATTACTTGAGGTGACCATTTATTTAAACCTTGAAACTTTATATTCTCTAAAAAGTTTATCTACAGGATTTTTGTTCAGACAAAAATAGTCATAGTGCAGCTGAACCTCACCATAGTGAAATGGGTATGTCCTTTTTCTTATTCTGATATGTCCTTTTTCTTATTCTGAGTATGGCGAATTTCATAATCTATAATAAGAATGCATATCATTTGCCATCACTATAACAAACAGCTCCTTCAATTTCTATTGGAACATAAACACATACATTTAAAGACTCCCATTCTGCCAATTTTATATAGGAGCCATAAACTTGATTCCAATGTTTACATATATGAAACTAATCCGACCAATCTAACAATCTCTAGTATTACATCGACCTCAATCACAAGTAGATACCATGATTTACGCAACCCTGTTAAAGAAGTTGAGGTAAATGTAGTAATGAAGTTCTAGATTCTCCCCTTTGCTCAACTTATTCAACATTATTAAACGAGACATCTCTTCGTTTCTTGGGATTCGCTGCTGCATTGGGATTACCTTTCTTCATCATAGCTACAAACTCATCATAGTTGATCCGGCCATCCTGCAGATATTTAGAAACTCGCTTTAAGATATATTTTTTATACTACTAATGGCATGTTTGGTAAGTTTGACTATATGGATAATGTGACTACCGTAGTGTCCAGTCATGACAAGTACTGCATACCAAACAAGTCCTTAAGAAAACTAATGCAACTTTCTCCCTAGAAGAACAAAGATGGTATTTTTCACATGGCATTGATTTCTGTTCTCTCCTTCTATAGTTCCGTGTTTGGTATAATTTGTAGGATATTGAAATTCACGTGCTTACATTATCACCGTCGACTTCAGAAATGATTTCCTTTATGTCATTTCCGTCGTTCATACCAAACTCTCGAAGAGCTTGCGCTAACTCTTCTATCGTGATGTACCTGATCAGAGAAAAAAGTTATAACAGCTCAGGTAGCCATTTTCTCTTTTTACTCAAGCTATTATTGTGTCAAACCGGACTCTTGTACTAACAAGCCTTCAGTTTTTCTTTCTAGAAAAGTAACAATTAAGGGCAGAGAAACATGTTCAAAAAGGACATAATCTAAGTACATTTACCCGCTATTATCTTTATCGAAATACTGGAAGGCAGTGTATAGATGCTCTTCTCTGTCCATTCTGTTTAACTGCATTGTTGCTGTAATGAATTCTTCGTAGTCTATGGTTCCATTCCCATCAGCATCAGCCTATGCTTTCCAAAAAAGAAAGCATTATATTGTAAAGGAAAATGGAGAGAACAAACACACTAGGCTATAGTTTGAGTGAACTCACAGCTTCCATCAGTTGTTTAACTTCGTATTCAGACAACTTCGTCCCTTGGTTCGCCAATCCTTGCTTTAGCTCTTCAAGTGTTATTGTACCACTGTTATCAGTATCCATGCCTTTGAACATTTGTTTCAATCCCATGATTTCTTCTTCCGAGAGGCAGCCAGCAATAACCTACTCATCCCGAGAAAAATCAATAATTCTGTACGCATTGAATACTTTTTAACCATGTAAATGAAATAACGAGGAGAGGAGAGAAAAATTCAGTCACGGGTCTGTTTTTCTTTAATCCTTTTCAGGATAGTCAGCAGACCAGAAATGGCCAGGGCCTTTTTTTTCTTTCTGTGAAATGTGAGAGCATAATTACCCGGAGTGCAACTTTCTTGAACTTGTTCATAGCTCTAAACTGTTTGAGCCTATCCATAACAGCATTATCGAGCGGCGTATCAGGTGCCTCTCCATCCTCCTTGATCCATGGATGATCTAATTATACCGCAATGCAGCAAGTCAGATACTAATTATTTCATTCTGATTCAAGAAATATTTCAAATTCTTGAGTTCAAATCACTTGACAATAAAATGGACGAGATTTTAGTATTTTTATTATTTAAAACCGTCTCTACCGTCCACTTTACCAAACAAGCCAATTATATTATACATACTTAGAACTTGGAATGCTGTGAGCCTGTTCTTGGGGTCTGAAGATAGCATCTTCTTGACAAGATCCTTTGCTCCACTTGAGATTGAGGGCCAAGGATCGCTTGTAAAATCAACATGTCCTCTTAAAATTGCATTGAAGATTCCATGCTCCGATTCTACACCGAAATAATGTTACATATGATCAAATTGAGGTACAACTGTCATACGAGAAGGTGAAAATTAGGGAAATTTTTCAATGAAATACCTGCCCAGAAAGGAGGAACTCCAGATAGAAGAATGTACAACATGACCCCAACACTCCAAATATCTGCCTCTGGTCCATATCTTCTCTTCAACACTTCAGGTGCTATGTAATATGCACTGCCAACAATGTCTTTAAATACATCTCCTGCAATAAAATGTACATATTAATGTTGCCAATAATTTCTTCGAATATTGATATTTAAGGGAAGAAACTTTACGGAAAATTGTAACCTTCTTTGAAGAAGACAGATAAACCAAAATCTGTTGCCTTTAATGGTGCATTTTCATCCTTATTTAAAAGAAGGAAGTTCTCTGGCTTGAGATCCCTATGAATGACCCCCATTGAATGGCATGTGTGGACAATCTGTACAATAGTTCTTAGCAAAGATGCCGCTGCGCGTTCTGTGTAATGTCCCTTTGCAATGATCCGATCGAAAAGCTCCCCTCCGGCACACAATTCCATCACCAAATGCACTGAATGTTTGTCTTCATAAGCCCCCTTGAGTTCAACAATATTAGGCTGTCCTGCCAAATGGTGCATGATTTGAACTTCCCTTCGAACATCCTCGGTATCCTCCTTGTTTACAAGCTTCCTTTTTGCTATCGTTTTGCATGCGAATTGCTCCCCCGTTTGTTTGTTTGTACACAAATGTGTCACACCGAATTGTCCTCTCCCGAGCTCTTTCCCAATGGTGTAAGTCGAGCGGACGTCCTCCATTGGCCGGCCTAAAACTGGCCCTATGGGGGTCGGTTTCAAAGGCTTCCTGGAGTGATTAGGAGAGGCAGAAGGCGGGGTAGTTCTAGGTGGGGCAGTGGTGTTACACATCGAGGCATTTTCATCGTGTTTCGGCTTGGATTCGACTTTCCCCGCCTCGTTATCGCCTTTTGAAGCGTCTTTGGCACCCCGAGAGCAGCAACTCCCCATTGAACAAGGAAGGAATAAGAAGTGTCAAGGAGAAAAGGAAGGAGAAGGATGAGGGTTTGCCCAACCAGAGGAAGAGCAACGAAGAATTTTTTTCTGGGGGCGTTTTTAGGAAAAGAATCAAAAGAAGTGTTTAGAGAGAGAGAGCCATGCAATGAGAAAGATTAGTTGTATTGGACTGATGGTGAGAGATTGTAGGAAAGATTTTGGTAAAAGTTTGTATTTTCTAAGGAAACTATTTTAAGACAAGGGTTCTGAAGATTTCCCGGGAACATAATACATTTTTGGTTGGTTGGCGTCTGTGAAAATGGCAAGTTTCCATGTAAGGGTAGGAATAACTTTTCCCTGCTGTACGAACTTGGATCGATCGTATTCCTTTTTTATCGAAGATATTTCAATGCAATGAATTACAGAATGTAGATAGTCTAATTGTAATTTTAAAAAAAAAAAAAAAAACCCATAAAAACTTGCTTTGTTGAGCAATATTTGATATAATTCAACAGTATCTTAAACCAGATATTAATTTCTTCTTGAACTCTGTTCAGTAGCGTTCAGTTCACCATGCAAACCTACAATGCAGTCGGTACAACTGTTTAGCGATAGAAGGCCTTGATTCATGAAGTTCATTCATTCAACATTCATGTTCCATAAAAGAGCAGTCGAACTTCGTAAAAGAAAAATCTTGCTCAATATTTAGATATTGAGGGATCTGCTTTCGCAGCACAGTCGTGAATTCCTCTGGTCACGTTGAATACCATCTTGAAACCCTGAGAATCCAAAGTAGTAGCCGTTATGTTTAATGAATACGGAAACAATGACGTGTTTGGTATGTCAGATTATACCGTGTTGGACATGATTAATTGAAAGAAAAAAGAACTTAAATTCATTTACAGTGTACTATTACACGTTAATTGGAGAGTTCCTGTAAAAATAGTTTTGCTTCTCAACAGAAATACACCTGACTGTAAATGCATAATGCTTCGCCTGCATCTGCAACCATTGGCGACTTGTAACGCCGTGATGACACTGCACTGCAGAAATCAGAAAGTTTTCTAAAAACTGTAAGGAAACAACACAGTTCAAAACTGAAAATTGAGAAAGAATCGAATGGAAAATGTACTTGGAAGTAATTCGTGCACAGACACTGAGAGAAGTAAATTCCCAAAACTGAACAACGTGTGGACATTCATTGCAACAATGAACAAATTCTTTCCCTTTTTTCTTGACTAAATTAGAATACACTAGACTTGGGGTTAGAAAGACGACACACAAACGACTAAAGGAAGAGTACTAGAATCCAATGGCCTGTCCCAGGCAAGTTGTGGGGGTAGACACCCAAACATAATATGTAGAAAACGAGAATCTAAATAAGGCAAATAACCCACTAATAGGAGGACAAAGTTTCCAGACATAATAACATTGTATGGTCATAACAAATAGCTAAAGAATATAAAAACCAGAACATATGTATCCTTTTGAGGATCTAACTTGGCCATAATTTCCTGTCCCCAGCTACTAAACTGGTGAAGTGGAAGAACCGTAAAACCCCGCAAAGATGCTCAGGTCCTGTTACTGAAAACAAGAGGTCAAAATAATGACGAAACGATATCTCAAATTGAAGGGAAGAAAATTGAAAGTGGTTTTGAACAGTTTCATTCCTGTTACACTGTTTCTGAATTATACCCATACTTGGGGATTATTTGAGCATCAACCTACAGGTGAAAAGGAGCAATTTTCTATTTTTTCAGGCTTACAGCCAATATTTCCGGTGCCATCAACGTTAAAAAGTTATGGACTCACAAGTTCTATTGAGAAGATCAACATTGAATGAATAACCACTTCTATGGAATGAAAATTACATTTTTTTTCACATCAAGTAAATCACGCATGCACCAGAGTACCACAAACATTAGAAATTCCACGTGAGAGTGTGGGGGGTGGGTGTGCGTACATGCCTGTGTTTTTTAAGTAATCTGGAAAGTTAAGAAAATTAGTCTCATAGAGCCATGAACAATATAACCCATAAGATTTTTCTTGACTTTCCAACCATAGAAGTCAATTTTTTAAGGGATGACGATGAGCATGTTAAATCTTCCCAAAAGGATGATCTCACATTTTTTGCTGTGAACCCAGTAGTTTTCCTTGTAATATTGCAATAAAAAGATTATAAAGAAAATTATAATGAACTTTAAGGTAGCACTAGAAAAAAAACTTCAGGTTCTCGCACGTCAATCAGCTGAGCTTCTTCAAGAAAAGAGAGCTGTTGCATCTTCTCTTGAAGCTCAATAGGCTGAATGACAAAAATCGATTCTTCCTTGTGGACAGCGAAAGGAAATTTTAAGAAAACAAATTCATTAGTATAGGAAACGAATTGCAAGAAGTTTTTGAATATACCTCTAAGATTGGACTTGCAATAAATTCCACACAAATTTAGTCTTTCACCCTACAACTTTATTTAGTGTTGCACTGAATGCAGCCGCCTCAAATTCTGGCACCTGACATATTTTGCCATGAAGAGTAAAAGATCAAATGGACAAAACGGAAAGAAAACATCCATTCAACTCCACATGAACCATGTAAATTTTGGTCAATGGCAACTAACACTAGAAGTGCAGAAATCCATAATGCTTTTGCAATTGAAACAACTGACTTGATTGAGCTGTAAGTTCTCCTAGGCATTTCATGATTTTCTACCCCAAAAAAAAAAACCACATCAGTCACAAAAAAAGACGCATGTCTGACAATTGATTTTCTGATGACTGTTACCTAATGTTCAGAGCTTAGGGGAAAATTAAAGATTGATTTGGAACTGTGGCATCAGATCTCAAGCTTTATATTTAGTCTAATTATCTCAGAAGATTGAAGGTCAAAACTTTGAGGTTTGACATCTTTATGCGAAGAAATTTGAAGAATAACTCATCCACTACATGTAGTGATTAGCACAAGGGAAGTAATTTATTTGAAATCAACAGTCCGAGTTTAGAAAAGTTAGTTCAAGAAAGAGAAATACACAAACAACATAACATCTGCCCCTTTCTCACCTAACCGAGCATTCCTCCTTCCTCTTTTGATGGACGTATTGAGTATTCCACAGACAAATCACTCAAATCCTCCTGAAATAACAAATACATAGTCAGTGTCTCTGTGAACAATAAATGGCAATAAGCATCAAACAACTGTAATCTTTCAAACATGTGGCTTATATGTTAACATAAATGTAAAATGGACACACGTAAACTGCTTAGGTTTCCAGATTAACTGTGAAGCTTCAACAATGTTTTTTTTTAATATTCCTATCATAACAGGTATCTGCAAAGAAGTATTTCCCTACTGGATGGTTTACCATATGGAAACTAACCTTCAGCAACATTTTTCAGCAGTTCAAGCAAAAGCTTCATGTCATCTTCTTCGACAAGCCAATGCTGCACTAATATTACTCTGCCACCTTCGGAACTGTTGCTGGCGGGAAATGACGCTGGAGAAAATATATAGTTTAGACCATAAATACTTACACTAAACACAAATCTAGAAATAAATGGAAATGAAACTGACAACATAATTGCATGTCTTTTTCACAAACCACTGGGTAAGTGGCAAACAACTATGATACTATCACAGAAGCAGATCTCATTATAGTGAAGTCGTAAGTCGGGATATTTGTGGGGTTCTAAAATTTTCCAGCTTGCAGAGAAACTGAACTTTGGAAGTTCATTAAGTTTGTTACATGATCTCAAGCATGGAGCTAGTTATGAGAGCATTTTCTCATGCAGTAAACAGTACCATGGTGTTAGTTATGAGAGCATTTTCTCGCATAATTTGTTAACCATAATGAAATTATTATTATTATTTTTTATTTTATTTTTTTTGGGGTTTTTTTTCCCGGGGGCG